ATTTTTAAAGATATAAGCTCATCTCGATGTTACACTCATCAAGACCTTTCATTTGAGTACCCACATGAATTTTTTCATATATCTTATATATATGATATTTATAAAATATATGAAAAGTGCATGTGGGTAGGCAAGATCAACAACAATTTATATAAAAAAAAATCTGTTAAATAAACATTTTCTCGTGGACTGATTTCCTTATTTTATTTATTGTAAAAACTCCGATCGCGGAGTGATTAATTACTTCACTTTGGAACTCCGAGTGATGGAAGTGAAATGGGAGTGAAATTCACTCCGGATTTTTTACAATGCATATACATTCAAACAATGTAAAAAAAAAAAATCGAATTTTCAAAAGTGACTAACTAGACTACACTCTTTTTTACCTGGAACTTACTTTTGAAATATTTCATTTCCGGTGTGCATGGAATTTTATCCATCAGACACTTATACAGAAATTCAGAATACCTTGTAGTACTCAACAGCAATGAAAAATCAATTTTTTCGAATTTAATAATTGGATACGGATCTTCTTTTTGAATATCTTCAGCGTTTGGACTTTTTACCATTATTACAATATAGAATACAAAAAATAAGTACGACGAGTACAATATTTTGTCTTGAAATGTGCAATCGAAGTATTACATCTCTTTTTTATACATTCTTCCCCAATTTTTCATAATAAGTATCGATAATTTTAACTTTCTATATTTTATAACGACAAAAAAATTATTTTAAAAATAAAAATAATTGACGACAAAGACATAAAGTTTAAAAATACATATTATTTTTCAACTGCAACGGAAACTTCGATAGAGATTATCTATTATTGAAAGATTTAAGTAAAAGTAATTTATTTAAAGCTTACATTTAGATATTTTAATGAGCCTTAATTGCAAGTCAATTAAATACTATAATTAGCAAAATTAAAAGAAATAATACGTAAAATTTTTTCGATATCGATGTACCGTTAAATTTATTTTGGTTAGTTTGTTAATTCAATTCATCAATAAAAAATTTTTAATGATGCTTATTTCATATGTCATTAATCAAAGAATTCTTTTATTGAAAATTAATTGGGTTTTTCAGTGTCAAATAACTTTTTAGTATAAGATAAGCAATCAAAGCTATTATTAAATTATTGGTTTTTTTGTTGATAAAACTATTTTACACGTCGGCCATAAAATTGAAATAATTTATATTTTTAACTTCCCGCTAAGAAAATCGAAAATTTTCAAAAATCGGGAAGTTATTAGTTTTACCCCGTTTTGCAAAATTAGAGTTTTTACTAGATCTCGACGTTTCAAGTTCTCAGAAAGCTTCCCCTACTACTCCCGCGATGGTGTCTGTCCGTCTGTATGTGTGTATGTGTGGATATATGTAAATCTCTCATAACTTTTGAACGGCTTAACCGATTTCATCGCGGTTGGTGCGATTCGAAAGGGTTTGACTGAACTTAGATTTTGAATATAATTTGAACCGATTCGGGCCGGTAGATTTTGAGAAATCTCAAAAAAACTATGAATAAATATTTTTTCAAATGTAGTTTTTTTTCAATAACTTTCAAACAGCTTGACCAATCTATTCCAAAAACTAATCAGCTCTTAACATTAAAAAACCACGTCGATCGCCACCAAGCCGGTCAAAATCGGTTGATTCGCTCTGGAGTTATCGTTGACGAAAGAAAACCGAAAAAAGTGTTTTTTCGAAATTACTCCAAAGTTCCTAGTTTGATCGAATTCAACTTGAAGATTACTTGTGAGGTTTAACAAACTGTACCGAACACCATGGCACCAACCTCGTAAAAATTGGTTCATTCATTCAAAAGTTATTGCAGTTTAAAAATTAAAAAAATAGTGTTTCATTAAACTTTTATCAGAGCTCAAAAACATCATTAGTGCAATTTTAAGCATCTACCCGAGAAAAAATGTTTCTATATAATCATATATAATTATATATAATCATACATGATTATATATGAAATTGTATATGAGGTTAT